GTTGGGACCGGTATGTGCTCGAACATTCGGGATGTTTCAGTGGAAACGGTCCTATATAAAGGCGTTGGGACCGCGATCGAGGCAGTATTGATTTTGCAATACAAGCGAAGACTTGGGAGCGAAATAAAGTGAACTAAAGTGTTAAGTGCGATTAATTATTAGTGTGTTTAAGTTTTAATTGGTTTTCAGTAATTAAAGTGTCAATTATGGTAATTCAATCGGCAGTTTTTATAGTCACGAACCCTTAGCTCGTAACAGTATCTACATTAAAGAACAAAACACATAGTCGCTTCCCTGATACTCACATTTTCGCCATTTACTTCATTCTCTTCATTCTCATTACTTCGTCCCCGATGACGACCCGCGTAACTCTGTACTAATGTTTGATATTTGGTTTCATTGAATTCCATAAACATATCAGTATCGATTTGAAGGCACATGTTTTTTTTATATTTATATTTTATTTTAGGTTACAAAGAGTTATCATAATGCAAAAACAAAACGCAGTTGCGAAGTGATGCCCACCCGAGTTAATATAACGTACTTCGGGCCCTAATTGAGATACTCTTGAGATAAGAGTAGTATCACACACAAGGGCTTAACCTCTCCAACAAGGGACTAAACATTTCCATATATCTTATCCGACTTAAAATGACATAAATATTAACGATGATGATAATTTAATTCCCATAATATTTAAAATTTATATTAATTATTCCTATCGTTAGATTTCATATAGCAGTAGGTAAGGGTGACAAATAACAAAGTACTGCGGACAGTAAGATACTGTGGCTCATAGACACCTAAATCTTAATTACAATAATAATTGAAATAAAGATGCTTTGTCAACCCTGAGGAATAAGTTAGAGTTAAAAATAACGCGCTAGGACCTCGCTGTAGCTATGTTATAATTGTATTACAAATTTTTGGCTCGACTGAAGTAGGACCACGCTGTAACAGAATACCAGCGTTAAATAGCATTAGGATGCTGCTTTGTTTCATATTGTAAGTGTTGAGAGCCGGAGATTTCTTTTATTGGAAACGGAGCATCCCATCTCAGTCCTCAGGGACAACAAAATATCTGCTTTTTGATTCTTAATTGAGGATAGATGTACTGTGTGTTCGTTTGTCACACTTATTCTATAAAACAATTAATGTGCCAAGATTAAGGAAAATCTCTAAAATAGGGCCTTTTTACGATCCATTAAAAATAACTAGAAATAGTACAATACCGAAGGCTCCTTGGCGCAGTGGCTTAACAATGAGTGGCTGCGCTGGGGGCCGCGGGCATCCAGCACGGTACAAGTATTTGTATGGCCTACAAGTGACTGTTCCGGGTCCGGATGTTTCTCCTTGTGCAATTTATGTTTGTATACTGCCTCCACGATTCAGGAGAAAATCCTAGTGCGGGGGTAACGTTTTTTTTTAAACATATATTTTAGGAAGTTAAAGTTTTATTATTTCATATTTGTAATATACTTTTAGTTTATTACTCAGCTATGGTGAAAATACGGAGCGAAATACTTGTTCTGATAAATCTAATTAATGTCTATAAGCAGATACCTGTCTGACCACTGAGGACTGGCTAAACGAGATATTATTATTATGCTAATAAAACTAGTGCGGCCACTTTGTCGTGATTAACTTGATTACGAAGAAATATGAAGTTAGTAATTAGAGTGATTTGAATTTAATTCTTGTGATAATTAATCTATCATATAAGAATCAACTGCTGGCTGTTAATCTAGCTAAATTCAAAAATAGATAAACCGATTTATCTATCTATATATATATATATATATATATATATATATATATGGTTTCTTGATGGTTTAGATTCACATTTGAACCCGGTAGGTGACGCTGTTGTCGAGATCCAGATATCACCCATTCGAAACCCGCGGGATCACTAGTGTAGGATAATAGTGTACAAACAACAACGTATTTAAGGAAGAAGTCTGCCTATCGAATTAATAAATCTGTATCAGGTTAAGTTCTAGACCTCATATAGCAAATAAAATATCATATATCCAATTACCTTAATGTATAGCTACTTCTTTATGTCCTGTGTGGTGGTTAAAAGTGTTATGTGTTACACTCCTAGCTCATTCGTTATAAACCTAACCGATCAATAACCGCCATAAAATGATAGAATCGTTAGTAGGCTAACAATGTTGATAAGTGTGAAATATTACCAATATAAGGAAGAAGAAATAAAAAAATAATCGGTACCCAATTGAATAGTTAATACCGCCCGCCGCACACATCTAGTAAATGTAAGAAATTAAAAAAAAATTGGAAGCTAATAGACTGAACACCGCCCAATGAAGATAATACCACTACTGATAAATATCACATATCGTCATCATTATCATGAGAGTCTACGAAATGCCACAGATGAAAATAGACCTCCACTATCTGTCTTATCTTGATCTTATAATTTGAGTTTTATACTTTAGCATCCCGAAATTCAGCTGGTTTGCCGTTTTGAGCTTAATAAGATTTTCTTTAAATTTAAATATTATTATTCGTAAGAGGCGACAGAAGGAAACTGAAACAGAAGTTGGGCAGCAGATTCTTCCTGATGAACAGCTGAAAAAAAAAACTGCGGTTGTCACCCCGCTTGCCAAGCGTGGCAACTATGGCAAACATCATAGTGTGATGTTTAATCCTTCTACTCCTCTTTATCTAAAAAACCGTTTCCAGTGTCTTTCTCTTACCCATAATCGGTTCCTTCGATCCTCCGTCAATCTTTCTATCTCTGCACCTTTGCACTCTTCTTCCTTTTTTCAAGAAATCCTTCACCGTAACCGCTGTGCGATTGTGGAACTCCTTACCCCTCCATATTCGTCGTGCTAAATCTCTTCACTCTTTCAAAAGTCTTGTTAAATCGTATTATTTAGAACGCTATTAGATAAATTACTTTACCTTTCTCGTACTCTTTTCATTTAATCTATTATATGATATTTTATATATAACTTTCACTTATTTTTATTTGTATGTATTATTATATTATTATATATTTTTTTATTATTATTTTGTATTCCCCCCTCTATTTGTAACTTTTGTTTGCAACATTCCTCTATGCAAAGGTTGTCTGGAAGAAATCACTTTCAGAGTGATAAGACCGCTTATTGTACATACTTTAATAAGATTTAACTATATTGATGTTTCTGTATTGTGGTGTACAAAAAAGAATAAATAAATAAACATCTCCACTATGAGGCATTCTATGGGGGAGACTTATATTCAGCAGTGGAATTAAGGCTGTTAAGGAAACGTACATATTATGACATGTTTATGTGACAAGAAGAAATGTTGATGTGATTTACTTTAATTACTATGCTCACTCCCAAGATTCCGAAACAATTTTACACTTTCGTTGTGACAGTTCATAAAATATTTCAAGGGTGTCTCACTATCCTATTCTATTTCTTATTTATCATATCATATTAAATCAAGCGAGCCGTGGTAGATTAGGGGCTTTGAGCTCGCTGTAAATTTCACAGTACGCAAGCAATCCGGCTTCGACCCCCGCCGGCACCAACGCAATTTTAATTGTTGATATACATTTTGAAGACATGTGTAATCCGCCAACATGCATTGGGGTAGCGTGACGGACATTTAATTGTCCTAAAACCCTCTCAGAAGTTTCACGACGCCTGTGTCCAGCAGTGGGACTATACTATAGGCTCTAATTTTATTCACTTTACTTTTTAAAACAATCTTTACTCCATGAAATTAATAGATGTAATCGCAAGTTGCACGGAAAAAAGTTTTCTTACTTTTCCAATCAATGCGTTTCTTACTAAAAGAGGATTTACAGTCGCAACCGCAAATTGATATTCGAAAATAAATCTTGGAATTTCTTTAAGGAGTTCAACATTTCGATGGAATTGCACAGAATCCAATCATAATAAATTCTCTTAAATTTCACGTTTCCGTTACTACGTTACTAATATAACATACATTAGAGCGATAGTGCAGTAAATTAAAATGCTGAATAGTTTAGTTTTAGTACTGAAGTTTATTGGAATTTTGTTAAAGTAAATTATAACTTAGAAACTTATTTGTTTAACAGGATATCTTCATCACTCAGATGTGTATTATCTATGACGCCATGTCATGCAGGTTTTTGATACGCTTTATAAATAACGTACTTAAATATTGATTGAAACTACTTTTACGGATTTTATCGCGTTTAATTTTAAATGATTTTTAATTCCCGATGTTTCGGGTGCTTTCCAGCATGACTGTGGCATGGAGGAGTGAAGAGATTGACGTCCCGATGTCAATGTTAACCCGGAGTACCTTCAGCTTTATAATTATTATTTATGGTACGATCTATGCAGAATGAACTTACTGTGTCTTGAAGTTTGCAGTGGTATGCTTGGGTGGTTGCCACGAAACTTAAACGTGATAAAATCCGTAAAAGTAGTTTTGATCAATGTGTAGTGTTGGCGTAGATATAAGAAATCATTACTTAAATATTTTTAAGAGAGAAAAAAATATTAAAGTTCAAAATAGCAAATTTTATAAATTATGTGTGTTGGATTCAATTTTTCATGTTTTGATACGAGGGTGACTTAGTGCACCGGCGTACTAACTGTTTTTAAAATTATATTTTCGTTAAAAAAACTTTTTGTTTCGGTCTATTTGATTAATTTAATTCCTCATTTTGACACTGCATCTTAACCAGTCTATGAATATAATATAAATTTGTGTGTAATTTATTATGCATTTTAAAAATGTTGGTAAACTTAGCATTTTTAATATCCTTCAATATTCGAACGGTGATAAGTTAAAAGTTAAAGTTACAGCTTAAATACGTCCCACCGCTGGGCACAGGCCTCATTTCTGAAGAGGGTTTTTAAGGCAAGGAAGTGTCCGCTGCGCTGACCCAATACGTGTTGGCGAACTTTATATGTCTTCGAAACATTTTTTAAAATTCTCAGACATGCAAGTTTCCTCACGAATTATTAATTGAAATCTTTTTTTAGGGGAGCCACCAATTCGATCACGTTATGCGCGGCTGACAGTTCTCGTACCACCAGAGCCTCCGAGAATACTCCAAGGTTCTATACTACAAGCGATAGAAGATCAAGAAATCGATTTGGAATGTATTTCTATTGGAGGGAAACCAGCAGCAGAGGTATGAGTTTCATGTATGAATATTATTACTATTGTTCCCCATTCCAGATATTGATCGCTAATTGACTGATTACAAACATTTTGAATTACGCCAATAAAGTGACAAACAACCTTGAAATAAAGGTGTTTAGTAGCTAGTGACTATTGGTTGTACATAAGGTCGGTAAGTGTACTTTCTTACACACTTATAAGGAACTACATCCACATGAGCGATCTGTGGACCTTATTCGTCTTTCTCATGTTTCAACTTTGTGCTGCGCGGTATCTGGTGACAAGATTTAGCATGAATTTTCTATTTGAATTTGGAAAGTAAGGTTAGATTTAATATTGGTGTTAGTGGTGGTTCTGACGTCATATCTTTCAATCGACATAAATTTTTTTTTGTATTTGGATAATATTTTATTTATTTTTTATTTATTAAGGTTTACCAATGTTTGATTACACTGTATTTAACAAAATGGCTTAAGAACTAACTTACATAGCTAAGTGTAACAAACGTTTAAGGTAAACACCACATGCATCGAGAAAGATTATAAATACGAATAAAAAAGTATAAATTACCTAATAATGAAAATAAGTATGCGGTAAAAAAAACTATTATTATTTATTTGTTGGTTTCAGACCAAGCTAAAGCTAGAGCTTCCTTAATTTTGGCAAATGAGTCGGCGTGAATGTCAACTTTGTCACTATGTCAATTGACCAATTTGCACAACCTTGGAATTGGGGAGTTGGCACCTAAGACAGATTTTCTAAAAGGAGGGCAAAATGGAGTAATGGGGGCGCAAGGAATTCTCAATGGAACACGAAATTTAAATTTTTGGAGCAAGAGGGGACAGTTAATTTTTTGATTAAAAATTTTTACAAGACATGAAATAATATATTGAAAGCGTGCCTTTCTATCTTCGTTATTTATTTTGTTTCCATATTGTTTTTCAAAATATTATCAGTATTTACATTTTTGATCACTTCAATAGTTTAAAACCTACCAAGTAGGAAATAAGGTAAAATTATGTTTAAGATTTATCTCCTCACGACTGAACTTTGGGTGAAACACCGCCAACTTCCTGACTCAAGTTCAATTATCTACTGATAATTTCTCTCTTGACTTTGGCCCGACCCGGAACCAAATGATCAGGTTTTAAAGATAAAAAGAGAGGGATGAGAGAGAGAGAGAGAGAGAGAGAGAGAGAGAGAGATAGAGCTAGAGAAAATAAAGGGATTTAAGAGCAGCAACATTATATCGCATAGGTTAAATTAAGTTTATTATTGAATTAAACGCCATCGACACCATATATTACAGGAACAAATTAAATGGGATCTACCTTTATCAGCGGACGGCACTTTAAACAAAATTTTATTAATTCCATTAAAATGGTCGATTAGGCAAGCATTATTGTTGTTGTAATAAATTCCACAATGACACTAATTATGTAGTAGCGGTTTAATTAATTTTGTTTATCTATTCCAACAATGTGAACGCCCAAACAATTGCTCTATGTTGGTTACGAGAAACGTTAGTTTACAATGATAATGACGGTTTACGAGTTCTCATTAACCACTGAATGTCTGAGGATACTTGTATAGCATTAAGTTCTTAATGGACCATGTGTTACTCTAATTGCTAGCTATGCGGGTTGGTAATGAAATGAAAATGAAAAGCACGACTAAAGGAAATCGAAGTAGATGATTACTTCTTGATTTTTTGTACATTAGTCAATGTGATAATTGATTCCTATAATTGATTTTACATTAGGTAATGATTTAGATAACTGATTGTTATTCCGTTTTCTACGTTTATATTTGATCGTTTGTTTAAATGAAGTATAAACAGGTTAATGTTGCACTTATCGAGCATAGATTATCTCGAAATTTTTCTTATTATATATTAAATGTAAATTCGTATAGATGATAAAGTATGAGTTTAACCCCTTAAGGGTAACTTTAAAGTATTTTTATAAAGGCGTGTTTCTTTTTTTCATTAACATTTCACTTTAATAAGGTTTAAGAAATTAATATTTTTAAATGCTAATATTTAGGCGTAACTCACAGGTGCCCGTTTTTCAGAGAGTTAGACAGAGACTTCGCACTTCCATTTAGCACCAGAATTCGATTTAGAAGATATTATAGAAAAGTAAGGAAGCCTACAGTTTCAATATCTCCATAAAGTTAAAGTTACAGATCAAAGTAATGTTATATGGCATTTTTTAAATATTTGTGACAAGTTAAGCTTACACAGTTCACCTTATAACAGTTGACTACTAAAACTCATGGAAACTTGCAACCAACTTCGAATAAAGAAGGTTACATAAATGCTGCCACCTCTATTGACTCAAATAAAATAGCTTTAAGCGTTTAATGATAATGGTTTTCTTACCTTCTTATGTAACAAAATACTTGTTGTAGATCACTTGGGTGGATCACGACGGTGGCGTTTTGACTCAAGGCGTCACGTACACAGTGGAGCAGATGTCAGACGGCCGGAGGTTCACTGCACGGTATGCGACCTTAATGTTCTTCCACTTTGAAGTTTCATGTATATAACTACTGTATAACTATATACGATAAGTAAAATATTTCCACCGCAAAATGTTTTTACCAAACAACAAGTTTGCAATTTTATTAAATACTAGCTACGTCCCTCGGTTTCACTTGCGTGATATACTATTCTCACTCTATGTAACTTTCGTTATTGAGTTGTTCACTTACGTTGGTGCTATAGTTTTTTTTATTATAGAAGATTCGGCAAATGAGCATACGGTTCACCTGATGTTAAGTAACTTCCGCAGCCCATGAACAACCGCAACACCAGGGGCTTTGCAGGTGCGTTGCCGGCCCTTTAGAAAGGAGTAAGCTCTTTTCTTGAAGGTCCTCAGGTCGTATAGGTACGGTAAAATCGCCGGTGGTAAATTATTCTACAGAGAGGTCGTACGCGGAAAAAAATTCCTAGTGAAATGCACAGTGGTGGACCGCCAAGAATTCAGATGGTGTGGATGGTTTCGGGAGGTTTGCCGCGTGGTGATTAGTAGGTTTTGTAGATTGATAGTAGGTTTTAAGTTAGTTGTTGTTAACCGATATCGTTGAAATGTTTTGTGTGTGTTTGAATGGGTCTCTAGATGGTTTAGATTTACATTTGGACCCAGTAGTTGGTGCTGTTGTCGAGATCCAGAAATCACCCGTGCGAAGCCTGGGCGTATCGCTAGTATTGTATAAATATGAAGTTGGGTGTCCATGTACATATGTATGTATAGATAACTAAGATCTCGAAATCAAAACTTGAAAGCGTAAAATTATTTTTCACACTAACATTATAAAAGTTTAAGTAGGGTCACCCGAGGCAAGTGTGACAGTGGGGCAAGTCCAACAAATGGAAATTATGCGGCCTACGCACGATTTTTGGTTTAATTCCATCTATTAAACAAGACAGGGTATTTTATACTACTACTATTTTATCAACAGACGTTATTTTTAAAATATACTCAACTGGCGATAGACAGCGCAGTTTCAAGAGATGAAGTTATTAAGTGTTTCGACATGTCGTTAAGTTATTTTAAACCAGATACAAGGTGAGTGATAAAGAATAATATTGGTACTTATAGAGTAATATGTTTCTGTGACTTGAAGTTCTTTGAAATACGGATAAAGTTACACTTACCTCACCCAATACCTAACATCGGGGTAAGTGTGACAGTGTCACGTTTATTATGATTATTTTATTATAAATTGTTAACGTTCTGAATTAAATTTTATCTTGCACTTGGCATTGCTTTTATTATTCTTACAAAACATCCAGAGATAGTGTAGTAAATCTATTTAAAGGCACACCACTATATCAATTAAAAACAGTCACACTTTTAAAAACAGCCCCATGTTAGGGAAAATTCATTGTTACGCAAAAATGGACGTTAAAATCGTTTCCATAGATCATTAAATATATCGACGTTAGTATCATCTCATCAATTTTGTTAAAAACTACAGATAAATAATAAAGTAACCACAAAACGAAGCCACACTTGCCCCATTGATGTTTAAGTGTGACAGTCTTCCACCTCAATTACCTTAAATTACAAAATGTTACTTGTAGATACTAAAATGCTTGATCAAACATACAACCTCTAAATAATTGATATTATGAAATTAAATTCTCTATATTAAATCTTTACAGAGTAGAAGTATTTAAATGTCGATTATAGTTTTAATTAATTTATGTCACACTTGCCCCAGATGACCTTATAGATGTGTAGAAGTGTTTATTACACTAAACGTACAAACTACTGAACGGATTGTGGTGAAACTTGCTAAATATGTAGGAAAAAATATTTGCTTTAGCGACAGTACAAAATTATGATATGACATTTTGAATATATAATTTCATTTCTTTTAAAAAAATTGCTCCAATTTATTATATCATAAATATAAATGTGTACTTCTAACGGGTCAGTACATTTTTGACATTAGGCCGCCCCAATTATATTATTTTCCTTACGTGATATTTTAAGAGCTTATTGGTGCGAATATATAGAATCCTTCTTTGGAAAATATAGTAAATATTTCTTAGTAAGAGAGGGTCCCAGAATAACGAATCGATATTATAAATTATAATAGACGTATATTAGATTATAATATAGATTCGTTATTCTGGGAAACTCTATTACTAACAAATTTTCTAAGAGTCTAGAAAGACTCCCTAATTCTATTGTATATCTAACAATATAATCTAATAATATTTAACAGTGGTAGAGCCACGCTGCAGCTTTGCTGTTGCACGTATGGACCGGCTCGAACCGGGGTGGTACCACGACCTCACAGAATACCGGCGTGAAGTGGAAGCTCTGCTTCTGCATTTCGTCTGGTGAGCGCAGGTGGCCAGAGGCCCAACCCTCCCCCCATCAACAGCTACCAGAATTAAATGATGATAGACTACCCCAGGAGAATACCAGCACCCCTGGAAAATCCCTCGCTGAGCATCCACGACCATGTCTCTCCCCTACTGAGCGTGGGTGCTCAGGCTGCCCTGCGCATTCTGGGGGTTGGAGCAAAATTCCGTTCAAGACTATAACTGCTCGGAGCAAACGGAGCAACAAGACTAAGACGACCCCTGCCATACCATCTCGAGACGGCGAGGCCGGCTCCGCTATTTCTGACCGAGACGCAGGTGTCCTCTCTGGATGATGTCTCGTATCTCTCCTACCCGGAGTACAAACTGGAACACTCCTTTGTGTCTCGTGCTGGAGTTTGCGTTTACGTCAGAGAGGACATCTGTTCTCGACGCCTCGGTAGACTTGAAGGTTCGGACCTGTCCATACTTTGGCTACGCGTAGACAGCGACGACCATCTGCGCGTCTACGGGTGCCTCTATAGGTCCCATAGCGGTAATGCCGAAATAGACCGACTATTCGACCACGTCCAAATGGCTACAGATTCGTTGCTACAGCAGATCCCCTCCGCAGAGATCGTGATCCTCGGCGACTTTAACGCCCATCACGCCGAATGGCTTGGTTGACGTTTAACCGATCATGCGGGGAGATCTGTTCATGATTTTGCCTTGGTATATGGTCTGACACAACTGGTTATTTCGCCTACGCGGATTCCAGATGTGGAGGATCATGCATCTTCCCTGTTGGATCTTCTGCTGACCACTCACCCGGACGGATATCAGATTTCCGTCGACGCCCCTTTAGGCTCCTCAGACCATTGTCTTATCCGGAGTGTGGTGGCACTCACGCTGAAATCGCAGTTGCATTCTGCAGGCTGCCGCCGTGTTTGGCACTATAGGTCAGCCGATTGGGATGGGATGCGGTCTTTCTTTGCATCCTACCCTTGGGGGCGGGTTTGCTTCTCGCCGAACTATCCCAACGTTGTTGCGGATTCTGTTGCTGATGTGGTACTTCAGGGTATGGAACTTTTTATTCCTTCCTCTGTGGTGCGCATTGGAGGAAAATCTCAGCCATGGTTTGGTCTCTCCTGTAAAATAGCATCATGCTATAAGCAGTAGTGCTACCGAGCCTGGGCTGACGCATCAGCGTCCCGCGATGTAAACACCAGCGCTCTAAAAAAGAAGTATAATTCCGCCTCTAGGTCCTTCAAAAGAGTCATTGCCAAGGTAAAGTCAGAGCACATAGGCAGAATTGGCGAGACACTAGTTCGCCTTTCTTCTGGAACCCGTGAATTCTGGTCTCTTGCCAAGGCTGTCCAGGGGAATTTCTGTCAGCCATCTCTTTCATCTCTGCACAGGGAGGACGACTCACTGGCTCATACCGCAAAGGAGAAAGCCGATCTGCTAGGCCCTTTCTTTGCGTTCAACTTGACTCTCGATGACGGGGGAGTACGCCGCCGACCATCCCGCGGTGTGAGTGCTCTATGCCGGAAGTGCAGTTCACACAGCGATTGGTTCGCAAAGCACTCCTCTCCCTGGACATCCACAAGTCAATTGGACCTGACGGAATCTCCCCAATTGTGCTGAGGATGTGTGATCCAGAGTTGGCACCGGTTTTAACGCGTCTTTTCCGGTACTCCTACTCCCTAGGCGTAGTCCCAAAATCATGGAAGGCGGCTTTCGTCCTCCCGATCCCTAAAAAAGGCGACCGCTCAGACCCGTCCAACTACCGGCCTATCGCCATCACCTCCTTGTTCTCCAAAACAATGGAGTGCATTATAAACCGCCAGCTCATGAGGTTCCTTGAGGATCACCAGCTGATCAGTGACCGCCAATACGGTTTTCGCCGTGGTCGATCAGCTGGTGATCTTCTAGTCTACCTAACTCACAGAAGGGCGGAGGCAGTAGAGTCCAAGGGGGAGGCATTGGCCGTTAGTTTGGACATTGCGAAGGCCTTCGATCGGGTTTGGCACAAAGTGCTTCTTTCGAAGCTCCCTTCCTAGCTGCTGGCTGGCTTCCCGAGAAATTGTGCGATTGGATCACCAGCTTTCTTGCAGATCGGAGCATCAAGGTCGTTGTAGACGGTGCAAGCTCCGATTGCAAGCTCCGATTGCAAGCCTGTTAATGCTGGTGTTTCACAAGGCTGCGTGCTATCGCCAACGCTGTTTCTTCTGCATATCAATGATATGTTGCAAACCCGTAACATTCATTGATATGCAGATGACAGCACTGGTGATGCTCTGTACCCCGGCCGAGCCAATATTTCTCGGGAAAACGTCTCCGAGTGCCGTGACAAACTTGTGTCTGAAGTCGAGTCTCTGCTGAACAGAGTCTCGGATTGAGGGCGACTAAATCTAGTCGAGTTTAACCCCCAGAAGACACAAGTTTGCGCGTTAACCGCTAAAAAGAACCCCTTTGTCGTATCTTCTCAGTTTCAAGGCATTCCCCTTGTTGCCTCAGCCAGTATCGGAATCATGCAACTTTACAAAGTGCAGCTTCGGTCACACATGGAATACTGTTCCCATCTCTGGGCTGGGGCTCCCCAGTACTAGCTCCTTCTACTTGACCGCATCCAGCGCAGAGCGGCTCGAATCGTCGACGACCGAGTGCTTTCCGATCGGCTCGATTCACTGGTGCTGCGAAGAGATGTTGCATCTCTTTGCATTTTCTTTCGCATATACCATGGTGAGTGCTCTGAGGAATTGTTCGGATTAATCCCAGCCGCCAAATTTCGTGAACGCACTACGCGGCAAACGTCCCGATACCATCCATGCCATCTGAATGCGTGGCGGTCCACCACTGTACGTTTCAAAAGGAATTTTCTTCCGCGTACAACTTCTCCGTGGAATAGTTTACCATCGGCGATTGGGACTGATACGACCTGGAGACCTTCAAGAAAAGAGCCTACTCCTTTCTAAAGGGCCGGCAACGCCCCTGCAATTTCCGTGATATTGTGGTTGATCATGGACGGCGGTAGTCACTTAACATCAGGTGAGCCGCATGCTCGTTTGCCCCCTCTTCTATAAAAAAAAATATCTACGGCCTACTTCAAGACAATAGAATTACTACGATACTATAACTATATTTTGATTATATACTTTTGATTGGTGCTACTGTGATTGTCGCTGTCCCTGAAATTGGATCCTAATTCTACTAATTTCTGAATTAACCCTTTAAGTGTCATTTGTATAATATTTTGAATAATTTTCAATTTCTAATAGTATTAAAAAAATTGTTGATTTTATCAAATAATTGACATTGCTTCCTTTCAGTCATTAAATTAAATAGTAAAGAATTGTCCATATATGTCCAACGGCTGGGCAGAGGCTCCTCTCATTACTGAAATAGTTTGAGGGCAAGAAAGAGTTCACCGCAATTCTCTAATTCGTGTTAGTACACACGATCTTATTTTTTTTTTTAATTTCTCAGATAAGTGAATTTCACTAACCATGTATTCCTTGTACCTTCAGTACATGGTGCATAAGCATTTCTATTGAATTCTGCTTGCTCCCCTTTTATGAAGTTATAAAGCAAAAACTTTTCTCTGAGGCTATCTTCTAAATAATTAAACACATTATTAAGGACAAGAATAAGATTAAGAATGTTTTTAATTAAAAATGGATTCAATATTTCCATTTGGCCCCAAGAGCAAAGATGAGGTCTACGATGGAGCGAGTTGGTCCAGGAGCAGCCTTTTAAACATGCACCTTAAAGAGGTTTAGGTTATAGGCACTCGGAAAAACAGACGCCGACGGGGCTTTCTACTCCTTGGATAATTTATTCCAAAATAATTTTCGAAAATGTACAATATACTAACTACGCACCAGGCGCAGCCTGTACTTAGGGGAAAGTTAATGATTTCCTCAAAATTAGAGCTAATCTAACAAAAATAAGGCCAAAATTAATTAATTAATTATAATTTTAGATCTGTGCTACATCTCCGTCCAAGAAGAAACCACCACAATCAGACTTTTACATGCCAAGCACAAAACACAGCTGATCGCGCCTACAGAGCTGCTAATATCAAACTACAGGTAAGCTTCATCACACACAATAAAATTATTCTTTTAACACACAAGAAATCTTTAGTGTTTTTAAGTCCGACACTGGATTTACGCTTTCACAAGAATGTGCTGCTGCATTCATTTTTTAAGACTACCACATTCTCAAAACGCTTAGCAAGTGGGTTAATGAGCAAAGAGTTAATGCTGACTCCATTATCCGCGTGTAAAATTTGAGTTCAGCAATTCTAGTATAATTTTCTACTACAAACGCCATTTATTCTTCCGTCAATCATAAGGGCTTTATTCGTATAGGTGAGTTTGGCACTTGAAGTTTCACCAAAGGCTTAGGAGGGAAGCTTTCGTCGGAGTATCGGTGCGTGCGTTATACATTTTAGGGGGCCGCTACTCAGGACACTTGAGTACAAGAGCGTGTGTATGTCTTGAAAGCTAACACCCGTCCTGTATATGTAATGAATGAATAGGTGGTTTATTCGTAACACACAAAATAACGTAGAAATAAATTAAAACAACAATTTAAAAAAAGAAGCAATATACACACACAAAACATTGTATTGGATTGAAGCTACGAAAAAATATCAAACTATACATAATGCTGTAACAGTGTCACCATAGCCACAGAGCTATTATTCTGTCGATGCCTCATTTTTACCGAGCAGTTGTCGTACATAATTATCTGTAACAATAAATAAAACAAATTAAATAATTACTAATTAAAATAGATACTAATAATATTATTATTATATTTTTTACATCGTTAGGTATTTGAAAACTTCTAAGAACTGATAAGCGCAAAATAATAATTATAAAGATACACAGACAATAAAAACTAGTATAGATATCCATTGAATGAATTTGAATGAAGTTTTACATTAATCTTAAGGTTCAGGTCTAATATAGAGATCATATAGAGCATTTAGTGGAGCGTACATCGATGGCATCACGGCAAACATACACTGTTTTATTACAGTGTTTCAAATATACGCTGCCCCGGAATTGAAAAATAGGCATAGGTATTCCGACCAAATTATATCGCCACAAAATTATGTGAGGTATTTTTTTATATGATAGGGTGACAAACGAGCATACAGTCCACCGGATGGTAAGTGGTTGCTGTGGCCCATAGACATCTACATCTATCCCCGATTACGAATCAAAATGCAGATGCATTGTTACCCGTGAGGACTAAGATGTAATGCCTCGTTTCCAGTAAAAAGGGTCTCCGGTTCTCTACACTTACCATACGAAACACAGCAGCATTAAGCTACTATTTGACGTTGGTATTCTGTGAGAGCGTGGTCCTTCCCCGGCCGAGCCGACCCATTCGTGCTACAACTATACTACTTATATATAACTGCATAATGGCTCTACCACGTATAAATGTGCATGGCATGCATAGGCATGTGGCGTATGAAGCGTTTATTTTGGATGGCCACTACTAGATATACTAGACATACAATCATATGTTTGTTATGCAAATATCTAATGTCCCGCTGAACTAAGTTCTTATTTCTACACCTCACAGGTTTAACGCTTTTGGTTATATAAATTCTTTGGTGGTGTTGCATAAGTTAAAAGAAGTATTCTGCACGTTCTGGGTTATAAATATTCAAGAAAGCATTTACATCGATCGCATGCTACGAGTTTTTAGCTTTTCTTGCACTGTATTCTACGCTAAAATCTGCTACGGAATCGTGGGTACGGATGTTCGCTTCTGTAAAGTATTGCCGATGTGTTTTTTTACGATTGTTTTAAATAGGGGTATTACCTAAGTAGATTTTATTGTGACTTGTATACTATACCTATGTTTGTTTCTAATGTCTGTGACAAAATATTATCTAGTTGATTGACAAGTTCTACGAACATAAAAATATAAAAAGGTACCTACTGTTAATAAGTAATTACGACCTTAATTATTGATAACTGTTGATTATCGCTTACTTAAATCAAATATAGTTACATATATGTATCTATACCTGTCTCTTTCTATTATCGAGTAGTGAAAAGCGTTAGAGCAATTTTAAAAAATTCTAAAATTGAAGTCTATTTTATGGGTACGGTCCTTAATGTATATGTAGTGTAACGCCTTTTTATTTAGTATCTAGTGTAGGCTGTAAGCATAAATGCAGCTACTATCGTTTCGATTTGAGTGGTAAGAGAAGCATATCAATTCCTCCGATTATTTAAAATATATTTGATATTTGAACTCAGGTTTGGCAGGACCCTGAAGCTTTCCGACTACGGATTTTCGTGGGTTACAGTGGCCACTTATAATTAGGTAGAAATAGGGATGATCGGTATTCATCGATGGTAGACACATCAATGTTTAGTCAGAAATCATCAATGTTTTTAAATCGATGTTAAGCCCTCAAAAACATACCTGTAGATATTGTCCACACTGTTTTGCATTTAGGGTATAAGCTCCAGGAGAGATTCTAATAACTATAGAAAAATCAGTTCTATATTTTATGAAGGAAATTTTCGTTTGCTAGTCTTTGACGAAACTTTTCTTACATTATTCATTAACGTTCATATGAACCCCTGTTTTATCAACGAATATAGTGACTAAAAACACTCAGGTACCTGTTGGTCTAAGTTTATGTGAAATTTATAGCAACAAAGAATGCGCCAACTGTATTACTTGCCTAGATATCAAAGCGAATAATGAGATATTGGGCCTATCATTATATAGGCAAGGGACTACTTACCTATTACTTTTTTGGCCATACGCGCCTAGCCATCCTTCTATATCTTTGTTATTTCAAACATCAATGCTAAGCATCAACCTTCTCCCTTTCTATTATTATTTTACATACTCGTATTACTCGCTTACCGATAATGCAAATATGACTTGATCGTAGGCATACAGGAGACAATTGACAGTTAACTCACTCATACTTAACCCAAATTTTTCTACATTCAATGAAGACATCAAAAGGGCTTTTCTCACTGTCGAATTTTCGCAAATCACAGGACGAGATATTGTGTCCGATTATTTTACGTCGCCACCATTCATCTAATAATTCAAAATGTTGTCTAAAAATAAATATACGGATTAAAATTCCATTGAGTAAATCGTTTATATTCTGTATTCATTTGAACGGTTTGCGAATACGACTTAATTAAGTAAAGCCAAAATAAATACTTAAAATCGGGCACCAAATCTCTTTATTTAAACAACTCGTTAAGGAGAATGGCGAATCAGCTGAAACCATTTCCGATTTATGTTATCAAACTTCGCCTGTAATCGGGCACGGCCACTTTATTTCCATAACTGGGGGTTTCAAACGCTTCTAAAAATGAGACAATTTGCTACGCCGATTAAGCCAGCGTTTATTTAAGATTTTATAGCCAAAGTTTCCTTGGGCGCCTTTTTAGCTTGCATAATTTTTATATTAAAGGTAGATATGGTCGGAAATAATAAGACTCGTACACTTTTCTTCTTGTGTCTAATGATAAAATCATTCAAGGGATTGCGTATAATTTGCTTTTCAAGGAATTTTATAATTGAAGAGTTTTTGCTCACTGACAAGTTCATGCAATAAATTTAAATGTTCTCGTATTTGAAAAATGTCTTTTTATCAGGTCTTCAATACATCTAGTGGCTCAAGACCGTGCTTTGTGGCATTTATTGGGGGAGGCCTATGTTGAGCATTGGACTTGTGAAGGGCTGTAATGATGATACTTATAAACATAAGAAGATCGTCTAAAATTATTTTAGTATTGTTTTAATAGTTATTAAAACTTTTGATTATCTATAAAATTCAATTTCACTTCTTAAATTGTAAAATGGGTCAAACTATTTCAAATTGAGAATAAGATTATATACGTTTGTATTAATTTACTAGAGCTTTAAGAAGTTAATATAAGGATATTATTGTGACTTGATGTATTCGTTGTAATGTCACAGTAAGCGAGCAACCCACGTTTGATTCTCGCCGGTACCAATAAAATTTTAATTGGCAATTTTAAGTGTTACTTTAACCATGTACTCAGCGTGAAGAAAAACTTCGTGAGGAAACTTTTAATTAAAAGGGGGCAAACGAGCATGGGTCCTCACTTGCTAATGAATGTCGCCGCTGTGAGCAACTGTGACACCAGGGGTAATGTAGTTTTTTTTATAGAATTAGGTGACAAGGCAAGGTGAATAAGAATGACAAACGAGCATACAGTCCACCTTATGGTAAGTGGATGCTGTGGTCTACAGACGTCTACACTTAAACTCGTTTAAGAATTAAAATGGAGATGCGTTGTTACCCCCGAGGACTAAGATGTAATGCCTCGATTCCAGTTAAACGGGTCTCCGGTTCTCTACACTCACCATACGAAACACAGCAGCGTCAAGTTGCTATTTTACGCTGGTATTCTGTGAGAGCGTGGTCCTTACCCGGTCGAGCCAACCCATTCGTGCTACAACCATATTATATCTGCAGCGCGGCTCTATCACGTAAGCCGTGGGTTCCTAAGTAGTGCCGATTCCATAAAGAAGTTGTGCGAGGAAGAAAATTTCTAGTAAAACGCTCTGTGGTGGACCGCCAATCGGCCAAATGATATGGATGGTATGGTGGGTATTTCGCGATGCGCGATTTTGAAATTTAGCGGCTGGAATTAGCTTCAACAATCCTCAGAATACTCTCTGTTTTAAATGCGAAAGGATTGCAAAGTAATGCAACATATCTTCGAGGCGCCATTGAGTCAAGCTATCGAAAAGAACTCGGTTGTCAACGATTAGAAGCGCTTCATACTGGATGCGGTCAAGTGGAAGGAGCTGGCACTATCATGTTTGAGAAATTAAAAAAATATCTCGGAGAAATATTCGCGCCCAAAATACGGAGCAGAATAGTGGGTACTTCACCGCCCTCAGACTGAAATGAGAACAGGCCTTTACCTAGCAGTGACAAGTATATGGATATACTTTATTATTGTGAATACATAAATACGTTCTTAAAGAGATAAAACAGAAGCTACCTTCAATTGTGCTTGCACACATAAATTACCTCTTAAGCCAAGCC